CCCGGCTAACTGTCCCTGTCAGCGGCTACTGGAGCCTGTCTGTATCGCTCTGTCCTCCACTGCTGTCATGCTGCCGGAAGAGGAGGGTTCAGCCTGTCCTGGTTCTGGTTCTGGGCTGATCCGGGTCATGGGCTGCGGTTCCGCTCCTGCTCCGCATCCTATTCCTCCGCCGCGGCGAAGACACGAAGCGAAGCGGCTTCAAGCAACAGACCGGACTGAGCCGAGCATCAAGACCGCGTGCGGCAGCGACACAAACACTTCCGGCCTTTTCAAAATAAAACCGCTAGATCTCGGACTGGTAGCTTGGTGAGAATAACTTCAGTCTTTCTTTATATACTGTACATATAAGTCTATTTTTCGACTTTGACATAAAATAATAACAAGGAAACAAACTAAATACAAATAAAATGCACATAGGATTCGGAATACAAAATAAACAAGTCTGTGCTACTTTACCTAACCGTTAATATTTCTTAAATCATCAGGAATAACCTCTGCAGCCTCATATACACATATACACGATCAATATGTTCGTTATTCTCTAAATGTCAGTGTAATTTAAACAACACCTTATCCTTTGGGTTTAACCGTTTCCACGCCAATACCGTACTTTTACTTTGACAGTGAAGCATCACTTCCGGTGTCGTCGTGTTTGACCCAGTTTGACGCATTTGACGCTGCAGCGAACACCGTGTGCAGCAGCAGCGCCATCCAGCGGCAGAACTACAAACTACAGCTTCAAACTACAAGTGTTCAGAATCAGAATCATCTTTATCTTTAAATTACATTTGTTTAATTTCGTCTTGTAGGTTTTGAGCATACATACAGATTCATCAAAAACAATACAATGGAAAAAATTGCAAAACATGAAAATGTGTCAAACCAATGCATTTAAAGGGGACCTATCAAGCATACATACATAAACATGTGTCCCCGGTGTGTCAGGGAACTCACGCAGGGATATGAGGCATGGCTAGAATGGGTGATCTGTTTGGTATTTTGAGCAAATAGACATGTTTTTTATATATTTGTATATATCTGAGACCTATGCTATTGCCTAAAAATAGCATGATAGTGATTGATTATATTTCAGTTGCACAAACAGCTATTTTAACCTCTCTTTACTTCCATAAAATAATCTGTTAGGATAAAGCACAGAGGCTAGTAAGTACATTAAAAACTACCCAAAATGCAGATTTCAGCTCTTCTCAGTAAATTCTACTTAAAGGTCTTTATAAAAACAAACAAGCGAGACGTCAGGAGTACGTATTTAAACTTTATTTAGTGTATATCAGAGTATGTATCATGTGCTGCGAGTCGCTTCCGATGGAGAACGTATATTTACATCTCATGTTTTTTTTCAACACGTACAAAAATACAAATTTTTAAAACAAATGAAACAACTGTACACTGTACATACACAAAGAGAAGCAGCTGATACAACAGAGCTGATGTTCAATCAAACACCAGCCTGGTCCTTTAATCGTCCCGTAACACTGAGCAGCTGAGTGTAAACAGACTTAGTGTTTTTATTCTTCAAATATAAGAAACGTCAGACTCTTTTAATTATATTCCCATAGCAGATCCTGTGTGCATATGTTTTATAAAAAGTCTTGGGAACATGACCGGATCAAAGAAACTGAAATATATGCAATGACATTTTTTCAATTAAATGACTGTCGTAACACAAACCAACATTTCAGAATAAAGTTGTAATATTTTGAGAAGAAATAGCATAATTTTAATGTAAATCAAGTGTTTTTTTTTCACCTTTTGTGCCATTGTGAACATTTTCTGATAACATTGATATTTTCCTCCAAATATTTCCACTTATTGAACTTAGTGCTCCTTAAAGTAAAAAGCTGTTATACACATCAGACACACATTCACTCACTCACTAGTTTGAACGACTGAAAATGTGGACTCAAAATGTCTTATGGCAACTTGTTCTCCTATGATGAGACTGAAGAGTAACTTTCATGGCAACGATGACTCGGCAACCTTTCCCCTAAAAGTTGCTGCCCGTTGCCTCATTCAGTCAGAGAACTGAAACGCAAGAGGACGGAGGTGAAGAGACACATTCATAAATATGGTGAACATGAGATCTGATCGTCTGTGAACGACGTGTGAAAAGGTTACAGGAGGCCAGGCTTCTGATTGGCTCTCTGGTGTGTCAGGTGCTTCTGCTGCATAGAACACTAACAAGGAATGAGTCCTGGAAATGAGTCAGCATTTTTACAACATCTGGCTACCTCGTTTTGAAGTCAACGTTTTTTTGTTGAGAAGCGTGAAATAAGATCTGTGCTGAACACAAGCTGAAGAGATGTCCACACTGGTTTATGACATTAGTATACCTCAGTGCCCCACTGGTGAATTTCAAGTGTCTAAATGAGACGATTAAAGGTCATCATGCCCAACATTAGCCACCTTTAGCTAAGCGGTGGTGACGTGAAGTCATGTGACCGCGATGCAGTTCGTTTTAGAGCCAAACATTAGCTTTTTACGTCTGGAGATAACATTTACGCTTCAAACATCCTAACAGTGGGGTAGTTTGTGGAAACGATCCTGCTGAACAAGACGAGTACATTTCATAAACATGTGTTAGCCGCAGAACTTATTTCCTGCAATATTGCTTTTCTTTGGAGGCAGCCCTTGTGATGCTAACGTCATCATTTCACCTCTCTACTGTTGCTGAAACTAAACCGTACTCCAACAGCCAATCAGAGGAGCCTGCAGACGACCCATGACCAACTTTGCTGCGACATCATCATCAGTCCGTGACATCATCAGCTGGGGGGGTTTCCTCTCAGCCCCAGAGGAACGAGTCTCGGCATCGGCCTCCAGGCCGCGCCGCCATCTTTTTTCCCTCCTCCTTCTTCTTCTTCCTCTTCTTCTTCTTCTTCTTCCCCATCGCTGTTGGCGGGTTCCATTACTTTCTCGGCCCCGCCCACTTTCATCTGCTGCAGAGGGGGCGGAGCCAGGACGCCGCCTCCACATTTAGCGTTTTCAGTCTTTGTCGAATCCTCAGAGTCAGAGTCGAGCTCTAGGACCCAGGGGCTGTGGGCGGGTCCTTTCTCCTCTTTGGCTCCGCCCCCTGACGACAACGGTTTCCCCGGTAACAGGACACTGGTTGTTGTTGTTGCTGTGGTGACGGTCTGCTGGTTGAGGAAGTCGATCTCGTTGAGGAGGGACATCAGACCCTCGTCGTCTTTCTGCTGCTCCAGAGACCCCTTCATGCCCAGGACCTCAGCCCCAGGATCAGCACTCTTTCCTGGGCAGGGAGAGCAGGACGGGCCCTGGTTGGAGGGTGGAGGCGGAGAGGGTCTGGGACCAGGAGGGATTTCAGCCACTTTCTGGGGAGGTGGTGGAGTTTGTGTTTTTTCCTGTGGTTCTTCTTGTTGTTGTTGTTGTTGTTGTTGTTGTGGTTGTTGTAGCATTTGTTGTAGGAGTATCTGTTGCTGTTGTTGTGATTGTTGTTGTAGTTGTTGTAGTATCTGTTGGTGTTCTGCAGTTGATGGTGGAACCAAATGAAGCAGGTTGTTTAAGTCTCCAGCTGTAATGAAAAAGAAATCAGCTGGTGTCAGGATGTAAGATCAGAAACTCAATTACTTTCATGAGTTCACGAGTCAGGAATGAGTTAGTTAGCATAACTAGCTTAGTCACTTTCATGAGTTCACGAGTCAGGAATGAGTTAGTTAGCATAACTAGCTTAGTCACTTTCATGAGTTCACGAGTCAGGAATGAGTTAGTTAGCATAACTAGCTTAGTCACTTTCATGAGTTCACGAGTCAGGAATGAGTTAGTTAGCATAACTAGCTTAGTCACTTTCATGAGTTCACGAGTCAGGAATGAGTTAGTTAGCATAACTAGCTTAGTCACTTTCATGAGTTCACGAGTCAGGAATGAGTTAGTTAGCATAACTAGCTTAGTCACTTTCATGAGTTCACGAGTCAGGAATGAGTTAGTTAGCATAACTAGCTTAGTCACTTTCATGAGTTCACGAGTCAGGAATGAGTTAGTTAGCATAACTAGCTTAGTCACTTTCATGAGTTCACGAGTCAGGAATGAGTTAGTTAGCATAACTAGCTTAGTCACTTTCATGAGTTCACGAGTCAGGAATGAGTTAGTTAGCATAACTAGCTTAGTCACTTTCATGAGTTCACGAGTCAGGAATGAGTTAGTTAGCATAACTAGCTTAGTCACTTTCATAAGTTCACGAGTCAGGAATGAGTTAGTTAGCATAACTAGCTTAGTCACTTTCATGAGTTCACGAGTCAGGAATGAGTTAGTTAGCATAACTAGCTTAGTCACTTTCATAAGTTCACGAGTCAGGAATGAGTTAGTTAGCATAACTAGCTTAGTCACTTTCATAAGTTCACGAGTCAGGAATGAGTTAGTTAGCATAACTAGCTTAGTCACTTTCATGAGTTCACGAGTCAGGAATGAGTTAGTTAGCATAACTAGCTTAGTCACTTTCATAAGTTCACAAGTCAGGAATGAGTTAGTTAGCATAACTAGCTTAGTCACTTTCATAAGTTCACAAGTCAGGAATGAGTTAGTTAGCATAACTAGCTTAGTCACTTTCATGAGTTCACGAGTCAGGAATGAGTTAGTTAGCATAACTAGCTTAGTCACTTTCATAAGTTCACGAGTCAGGAATGAGTTAGTTAGCATAACTAGCTTAGTCACTTTCATAAGTTCACGAGTCAGGAATGAGTTAGTTAGCATAACTAGCTTAGTCACTTTCATAAGTTCACAAGTCAGGAATGAGTTAGTTAGCATAACTAGCTTAGTCACTTTCATGAGTTCACGAGTCAGGAATGAGTTAGTTAGCATAACTAGCTTAGTCACTTTCATAAGTTCACAAGTCAGGAATGAGTTAGTTAGCATAACTAGCTTAGTCACTTTCATGAGTTCACGAGTCAGGAATGAGTTAGTTAGCATAACTAGCTTAGTCACTTTCATAAGTTCACAAGTCAGGAATGAGTTAGTTAGCATAACTAGCTTAGTCACTTTCATGAGTTCACGAGTCAGGAATGAGTTAGTTAGCATAACTAGCTTAGTCACTTTCATGAGTTCACGAGTCAGGAATGAGTTAGTTAGCATAACTAGCTTAGTCACTTTCATGAGTTCACGAGTCAGGAATGAGTTAGTTAGCATAACTAGCTTAGTCACTTTCATAAGTTCACAAGTCAGGAATGAGTTAGTTAGCATAACTAGCTTAGTCACTTTCATGAGTTCACGAGTCAGGAATGAGTTAGTTAGCATAACTAGCTTAGTCACTTTCATAAGTTCACAAGTCAGGAATGAGTTAGTTAGCATAACTAGCTTAGTCACTTTCATGAGTTCACGAGTCAGGAATGAGTTAGTTAGCATAACTAGCTTAGTCACTTTCATAAGTTCACGAGTCAGGAATGAGTTAGTTAGCATAACTAGCTTAGTCACTTTCATGAGTTCACGAGTCAGGAATGAGTTAGTTAGCATAACTAGCTTAGTCACTTTCATAAGTTCACGAGTCAGGAATGAGTTAGTTAGCATAACTAGCTTAGTCACTTCATAGTTCACGAGTCAGGAATGAGTTAGTTAGTATAACTAGCTTAGTCACTTTCATAAGTTCACGAGTCAGGAATGAGTTAGTTAGCATAACTAGCTTAGTCACTTTCATAAGTTCACGAGTCAGGAATGAGTTAGTTAGCATAACTAGCTTAGTCACTTTCATAAGTTCACGAGTCAGGAATGAGTTAGTTAGCATAACTAGCTTAGTCACTTTCATAAGTTCACGAGTCAGGAATGAGTTAGTTAGCATAACTAGCTTAGTCACTTTCATGAGTTCACGAGTCAGGAATGAGTTAGTTAGCATAACTAGCTTAGTCACTTTCATGAGTTCACGAGTCAGGAATGAGTTAGTTAGCATAACTAGCTTAGTCACTTTCATGAGTTCACGAGTCAGGAATGAGTTAGTTAGCATAACTAGCTTAGTCACTTTCATAAGTTCACGAGTCAGGAATGAGTTAGTTAGCATAACTAGCTTAGTCACTTTCATAAGTTCACGAGTCAGGAATGAGTTAGTTAGCATAACTAGCTTAGTCACTTTCATGAGTTCACGAGTCAGGAATGAGTTAGTTAGCATAACTAGCTTAGTCACTTTCATGAGTTCACGAGTCAGGAATGAGTTAGCATAACTAGCTTAGTCACTTTCATAAGTTCACGAGTCAGGAATGAGTTAGTTAGCATAACTAGCTTAGTCACTTTCATAAGTTCACGAGTCAGGAATGAGTTAGTTAGCATAACTAGCTTAGTCATTTAGCCAACTTCTTGGTTAGTAAGTCGTAAACAAGTAAAATATGACAGCATGTAAATTAGTTTGTTTCAAGGTATTTGTACTGGTGAATTATTTATTTGCGAAGTTGCTATTTAGTTAAGAAACTATTAGGTTAGTTACATTTTGTTGGTTAGTTGAGTTACCTGTGTGGTTAGTCAGCTGAGATAACTATGTAGGAAGTTAGTAAGTTAGTTAGTTGAGTTACCTGTGTGGTTAGTTAGGTATTTAGTTAGTTGAGTTACCTGTGTAGTTAGTCAGCTGAGATAACTATGTAGGTAGTTAGTAAGTTAGTTAGTTGAGTTACCTGTGTGGTTAGTCAGGTATTTAGTTAGTTGAGTTACCTGTGTGGTTAGTCAGGTATTTAGTTAGTTGAGTTACCTGTGTGGTTAGTCAGGTATTTAGTTAGTTGAGTTACTTGTGTGGTAAGTCAGCTGAGATAACTATGTAGGTAGTTAGTAGGTTAGTTAGTTGAGTTACCTGTGTGGTTAGTCAGCTGAGATAACTATGTAGGTAGTTAGTAAGTTAGTTAGTTGAGTTACCTGTGTGGTTAGTCAGCTGAGATAACTATGTAGGTAGTTAGTAAGTTAGTTAGTTGAGTTACCTGTGTGGTTAGTCAGGTATTTAGTTAGTTGAGTTACCTGTGTAGTTAGTCAGCTGAGATAACTATGTAGGTAGTTAGTAGGTTAGTTAGTTGAGTTACCTGTGTGGTTAGTCAGGAGAGATAACTATGTAGGTAGTTAGTAGGTTAGTTAGTTGAGTTACCTGTGTGGTTAGTCAGCTGAGATAACTATGTAGGTAGTTAGTAAGTTAGTTAGTTGAGTTACCTGTGTGGTTAGTCAGCTGAGATAACTATGTAGGAAGTTAGTAAGTTAGTTAGTTGAGTTACCTGTGTGGTTAGTCAGGTATTTAGTTAGTTGAGTTACCTGTGTGGTTAGTCAGGTATTTAGTTAGTTGAGTTACCTGTGTGGTTAGTCAGGTATTTAGTTAGTTGAGTTACTTGTGTGGTAAGTCAGCTGAGATAACTATGTAGGTAGTTAGTAGGTTAGTTAGTTGAGTTACCTGTGTGGTTAGTCAGCTGAGATAACTATGTAGGTAGTTAGTAAGTTAGTTAGTTGAGTTACCTGTGTGGTTAGTCAGCTGAGATAACTATGTAGGTAGTTAGTAAGTTAGTTAGTTGAGTTACCTGTGTGGTTAGTCAGCTGAGATAACTATGTAGGTAGTTAGTAAGTTAGTTAGTTGAGTTACCTGTGTGGTTAGTCAGGTATTTAGTTAGTTGAGTTACCTGTGTGGTTAGTCAGCTGAGATAACTATGTAGGTAGTTAGTAGGTTAGTTAGTTGAGTTACCTGTGTGGTTAGTCAGGTATTTAGTTAGTTGAGTTACTTGTTTAGTTAGCTAGTTGAGTTACCCGTGTGGTTAGTTAGGTATTTAGTTAGTTGAGTTACTTGTTTAGTTAGCTAGTTGAGTTACCCGTGTGGTTAGTTAGCTGAGATAACTATGTAGGTAGTTAGTAAGTTAGCTAGTTGAGTTACCTGTGTGGTTAGTCAGGTATTTAGTTAGTTGAGTTACTTGTTAAGTTACCTGTGTGGTTAACAAGTTGTTGATTACCTGTGTAGTGAGTGAGTGAGTGAGTGAGTGAGTGAGTTGATTTACCTGTATGGTGAGAACATTAGTAAATTAATTTGTATTTGATGGTTAGTTGAGATACTTGTACATTTGAGCTATTAGTTAACTGTTTAGTTAGTTAGTCGATGTACCTGTCTGGTAAGTTAGTTAGTTAGTGTTATGGTGGTGTAGCTGCTGTAAATGTTACCTGTGGAGGGGCGGGGCAGAGAGGGGAGATGGATCACCTGACCAGGGATGTTGATGATTGATGTCACGCCTACAGACAGGAAGAAGACATTGTATTACTTCAAAATAAAAGCATGTCGCGGCAGAGAGCAGAGTGACAGAGATCGATAGTTACCTGGTGACGGAGACGTCTGCAGCACCGTCGGGCTGAAGGCCAGAAACTGTTGCCCCGGCAACGCAGAACCGACCAATGGGAACATAGCCTGATAGCACGGCAACACAGCTGGTTTCTTAGTGCGAGACAGGATGTTGGGAACCGTCTTGGGCCTGTCCCTTTCCACTGATGCATTGTGGGATACAGCAGGAGGAGACAGGATCTTGGGAACCGTCTTGGGCCTGTCACTTTCCCCTGATGCATTGTGGGAAACAGCAGGAGGAGGCATGATGGGCGGCAGCATCTGCACGACCCTCTGAAGCTGCTGTATGATTGGAGCAGAAACAGAAAGGGGAGGATCTTGCTGTGGGAAGGAGGAAGTGATTATGATGTCGTCATCACTCGAAGCTGGAGGGTCTGAGGCCCCGCCCCCTCTCTCTGCTGACAGCTGATTGGCTGTTGGGCGCCCCTTCTTCTCCTCAATCGTCGTGTGTTTGGACGTCAGGTGCTGCAGACTCCCCTGGACTCTCTGCTTACGAGAGCGGAAGGTGCCCTTGTCTTACACACACACACACACACACACACACACACACACACACACACACACACACACACACACACACACACACACACACACACACACACACACACACACACACACACACACACACACACACACCACACACACACACACACACACACACACACACACACACACACACACACACACACACACACACACACACCACACACACACACACACACACACACACACACACACACACACACACACACACACACACACACACACACACACACACACACACACACACACACACACACACACATTAGATACAGCTTGCTAGAATGATTTTGTTGTTTGATGAGTTTTCCTTATAGAAGTGTTTACATTTTAAACAAAGTATAATCAAATGTAAATAAATGCAATGTTCAGATACCTGTTGTATCCCAGACCTCACATCACCTGGTTCCTCACCTGTTCTCTCTCTGATCTTTTTGATGAAGTTCTCTCTCTTCTGGTTCAGACAGATCTTCAGACTCTTCAGTCTCGCCGTCTCGTTCTGCAGATTCAGGATCTCCTGCTGAGCCTGAAACACAAAACAAACTGTGTTCAAATGTGTGTTTAAAGCTGAAGTCACACTAACGCATGTGTGTGTGTCAGTCACCCTCAAGCGACAGTAAAGCTGTCAGAAAAGAGCTTGAGATGCAAAATACAGGTGTACTAAATACAAATACAGGAAGTACCAGTTTGTTTACATGATGCTTCCCGAGAGGGCGAACATGTGGCCTTCCTCAAACTGCTATCAATTCATATTATTTGAGATCAAGTTTTTAAACAGGGTCTTGGCCATAAATACCAAATAGTTAGTCAGTAGAAGAAGAAGTGGTTTCTGTCTCACCTCTTTGAGCCTAAAAGCCTTCGGGGAGTCTCTGCACTTCACCATGGAGCTGAGGTCTTTGAAGGCGGGGGAGTTGCTGTGAAAATCAACCGGCTTCTTTTGTCTCAAACTGCTTCTGTTGACACAACGACAGACAACACGTCAGATTACACTCACCGGCTAACCCTTTAAGGCAGGCGGGGGGTTTTCTAGAGAGATATAGTATGAGGTGATACTATGGCGCTGATCTTGTATATAAGATGGTACATTCTGGAGAGAACATGACGCTCGTATACAAGATGGCTCCGAGTACGCAAACAACGTGACGTCGGAGCTCCGTAAAACCAAAGCTGTCTCTGCCGTCTGACGCTCTGTTGAGTAATCACACCATCTTTGAGGAACATAGATATTGTTTTCTGGCATCACGTTCATATTTCACGGGGAAATCTGCATTTTGGTATGAGGACGCATGCCGAGAGTAAGAGGGCGTCATCGCTGTCTTCACCCTTCCTCTCTGTAATGGGTGTTATACATCAGGGTCTATGCAGGAGTCCAGAAGTCACATAGAAGACCTTTTAAGACCCTTTCCATACATTTTAAGACCTCATCTCCACTTTGAGTTTTAACCGGTTACCTTGGCAACACACTTTACCTCACATTGACTATATTCAGTATTGATTGTCCTTCCTCCTTATCTTCCAACCATTTGGACGCAGACTTGCATTTCCCCATAACCATGTTGTTTAACAACCGGCGTAAACGGGCCTTCGCGCTATCAAGCAGTGAGCGTGCGATGTCCTGTTCTGATGACGTCAAATCCAACGGGATGCCATAAATAAACTACACAGAATCACACTACACACCTACGCAATGATTACATTCAGGCAGACTGTAGAATACCTCTTTGGACAATTCATATACTTATTGAGAACAAGCTACAAAATGTAATACCTTGGGAAATGCTGTTTAATACTTTTTAATAGCCTTCATTTTCACTAAATTGATTTATCAACTTTGAATACTTTGTAAGACCCCGCGGACCCCCTGCTCAGGGATTAGGGATGGTGGAGACAGTCAAATATTATTTATAACTTTGTTGTTTGCTAATGTTTTTCATCAATACAAAATATTTTAATGATATGTTGCTGATTCCATGACATGTGACTTGTTAGTCGCTTTTATCCAAAGCGACTTACAGACTCAGTACTGAGGACAACCCCCACAGGAAGTGTCTCAGGGACACAGCGACATGCTGACTGCAGAGGGACTCGAACCTGCTATCCTCTGATTCCAAGATCAGTTCTTACTTTGAGTTCCTCTTGTTCCTCGTCCGCCGCCTCTTCACCAGCGTCTCCATGGCAACACTCTGAGCCCCTTCCTCCACCTGACACACACACACACACACACACACACACACACACACACACACACACACACACACACACACACACACACACACACAACACACACACACACACACACACACACACATCACACACACACACACACACACATCACACACACACACACACACACACACACACACACACACACACACACACACACACACACACACACACACACACACACACACACACACACACACACACACACACACACACACACACACACACACACATCACACACACACACACACACACACACACACACACACACACACACACACACACACACACACACACACACACACACACACACACACACACACACACACCATTAGCTAACGTATACATGGAACAAGATTTAACTGAATTACAACAAAATAAATTACAAAAATGTGTCTTTATTAGGAAATGTCATATTTATTTAAATAAGTTTTTATAACACACATTGTTTAAAAGAAATCTGTAGCACATTAGACTTTTTGGATTTTGGAAAATAGCTGGAAATAAGGTCTGAGGAAAACGAACCTGTTTGATAAATGCACGTTTTGTTCAGCCGGATCATCTCCACATGTCTCTACTTTTATCATTTTCTAATCATAAATCTAACGGCCAGAAGCAAAATGCTAACTTTTACGCTATAAAGGAACTACAGGCGAGTCCAGCAGCACGACTTCAACGTCACGCCAACTTAAAGGTGGGGTAGGTAATTCACTTCAGAAACACTTGTTATATTCCATGGAATGCTCTTAACATCCAGATAGCAATGAATATCTGAAGTGCTTTGACAAAAGATTCATACAAACATCTCATCTGTGGAAGCTGTGGTACTGTAAAAAGCACGACCAATCATGTGAGCCGGCCCGGCTAAAATAACTGGATGGCCTACCTGCCTGTCAGCCTTCCATCTGTGCACAAACTTATCTCGTGCCCTCATTGGTCATGTGCGCGTTCGTGTGTGTTGGAGGAGGGGCTCTGAAGGAAGTGGCAGATTTCTTTCGGCTGCGTATTTTCACATTCTAGCGATCTCGAGCCGGTTTCTCCATTCTTACCTCCCCCACCTTTCAGATCCATATTCAAACATACAGATTCTAAACTGAACGAGTTGAAGCGTTTGTTTGAACAGTTTGCAGGAGGCAGGTACTTGCTTTAGAGGAGTGTTTACGTGTTCGGTGTAATGACGTACAACGTCCTCCACGACTTCTGTAGTCCTATTCAGCCACTTGGTAATAACCATCGTTATTCAGACACGTCAACTCTTCAGAAATCACCAGTGGGGTCACTGCTGATGGATTTAATGTCCTAGAACAAACCGTGACCCGTCTCTTCAACGTGTCTCAACCACAGACCTTATTTCAGCTATTTTTGAAAACCCTATGGAGAGATCCCATTGGCTCTGAGACCAGGGAACAGAGTGGTGAAATGCTGACTCACTTCCTGGTTTTAGGACTCATCACTGCACCTCTCTATAGACATCCGGTCTGCAAGCTTTTAAAACTGAAGACCCATCTTTTTAGTTTGGTTAGAAAATGAGTATTTCTTACGTTGTTCTTCTTGGTAACGAGGATCTGATCGTCTGACGAGTTTTCCGTCACTTCTTCCACCTCCAGTAGTTTCTCCTCCACGTCGCTCTCTGTCGACTCTGGAGATCTGTGATGTTTACGGCTCATCCGATTAATCTCCTCTGAAAACAAAACACAATCAGCTGATCTCACTCTGAACACAAGCATCTGATCTCACTCTGAACACAAGCATCTGATCTCACTCTGAACACAAGCAGCTGATCTCACTCTGAACACAAGCAGCTGATCTCACTCTGAACACAATCAGCTGATCTCACTCTGAACACAAACACAAGCATCTGATCTCACTCTGAACCCAAGCAGCTGATCTCACTCTGAACACAAGCAGCTGATCTCACTCTGAACACAATCAGCTGATCTCACTCTGAACCCAAGCATCTGATCTCACTCTGAACACAAGCATCTGATCTCACTCTGAACACAAGCATCTGATCTCACTCTGAACACAAGCAGCTGATCTCACTCTGAACACAAAACACAAGCATCTGATCTCACTCTGAACCCAAGCATCTGATCTCACTCTGAACTCAAGCATCTGATCTCACTCTGAACACAAGCATCTGATCTCACTCTGAACTCAAGCATCTGATCTCACTCTGAACACAAGCAGCTGATCTCACTCTGAACACAAAACACAAGCATCTGATCTCACTCTGAACACAAGCATCTGATCTCACTCTGAACTCAAGCATCTGATCTCACTCTGAACTCAAGCATCTGATCTCACTCTGAACTCAAGCATCTGATCTCACTCTGAACTCAAGCATCTGATCTCACTCTGAACTCAATCAGCTGATCTCACTCTGAACACAAGCATCTGATCTCACTCTGAACACAAGCATCTGATCTCACTCTGAACCCAAGCATCTGATCTCACTCTGAACTTAAGCATCTGATCTCACTCTGAACACAAGCATCTGATCTCACTCTGAACACAAGCATCTGATCTCACTCTGAACACAAGCATCTGATCTCACTCTGAACACAATCATCTGATCTCACTCTGAACACAAGCAGCTGATCTCACTCTGAACACAAAACACAAGCATCTGATCTCACTCTGAACTCAAGCATCTGATCTCACTCTGAACACAAAACACAAGCATCTGATCTCACTCTGAACACAAGCATCTGATCTCACTCTGAACTCAAGCATCTGATCTCACTCTGAACACAATCAGCTGATCTCACTCTGAACACAAAACACAAGCATCTGATCTCACTCTGAACACAAGCATCTGATCTCACTCTGAACTCAAGCATCTGATCTCACTCTGAACACAAGCATCTGATCTCACTCTGAACTCAAGCATCTGATCTCACTCTGAACACAAGCATCTGATCTCACTCTGAACACAAGCAGCTGATCTCACTCTGAACACAAACACAAGCATCTGATCTCACTCTGAACTCAAGCATCTGATCTCACTCTGAACTCAAGCATCTGATCTCACTCTGAACACAATCAGCTGATCTCACTCTGAACACAAGCAGCTGATCTCACTCTGAACACAAGCAGCTGATCTCACTCTGAACCCAAGCATCTGATCTCACTCTGAACTCAAGCATCTGATCTCACTCTGAACACAAAACACAAGCATCTGATCTCACTCTGAACACAAGCATCTGATCTCACTCTGAACACAAGCATCTGATCTCACTCTGAACACAATCAGCTGATCTCACTCTGAACACAATCAGCTGATCTCACTCTGAACACAAGCATCTGATCTCACTCTGAACACAAGCATCTGATCTCACTCTGAACACAAGCATCTGATCTCACTCTGAACACAATCAGCTGATCTCACTCTGAACACAAGCATCTGATCTCACTCTGAACACAAAACACAAGCATCTGATCTCACTCTGAACACAAAACACAAGCATCTGATCTCACTCTGAACTCAAGCATCTGATCTCACTCTGAACTCAAGCATCTGATCTCACTCTGAACTCAAGCATCTGATCTCACTCTGAACACAAGCAGCTGATCTCACTCTGAACACAAGCAGCTGATCTCACTCTGAACCCAAGCATCTGATCTCACTCTGAACACAATCAGCTGATCTCACTCTGAACACAAAACTCAAGCATCTGATCTCACTCTGAACACAAGCATCTGATCTCACTCTGAACTCAAGCATCTGATCTCACTCTGAACTCAAGCATCTGATCTCACTCTGAACACAAGCATCTGATCTCACTCTGAACTCAAGCATCTGATCTCACTCTGAACACAAAACACAAGCATCTGATCTCACTCTGAACACAAGCAGCTGATCTCACTCTGAACACAAAACACAAGCATCTGATCTCACTCTGAACTCAAGCATCTGATCTCACTCTGAACTCAAGCATCTGATCTCACTGCTGAACACAAATTCAGCTGATCTCACTCTGAACACAAGCAGCTGATCTCACTCTGAACACAAGCAGCTGATCTCACTCTGAACCCAAGCATCTGATCTCACTCTGAACTCAAGCATCTGATCTCACTCTGAACACAAAACACAAGCATCTGATCTCACTCTGAACACAAGCATCTGATCTCACTCTGAACACAAGCATCTGATCTCACTCTGAACACAATCAGCTGATCTCACTCTGAACACAATCAGCTGATCTCACTCTGAACACAAGCATCTGATCTCACTCTGAACACAAGCATCTGATCTCACTCTGAACACAAGCATCTGATCTCACTCTGAACACAATCAGCTGATCTCACTCTGAACACAAAGCATCTGATCTCACTCTGAACACAAAACACAAGCATCTGATCTCACTCTGAACACAAAACACAAGCATCTGATCTCACTCTGAACTCAAGCATCTGATCTCACTCTGAACTCAAGCATCTGATCTCACTCTGAACTCAAGCATCTGATCTCACTCTGAACACAAGCAGCTGATCTCACTCTGAACACAAGCAGCTGATCTCACTCTGAACCCAAGCATCTGATCTCACTCTGAACACAATCAGCTGATCTCACTCTGAACACAAAACTCAAGCATCTGATCTCACTCTGAACACAAGCATCTGATCTCACTCTGAACTCAAGCATCTGATCTCACTCTGAACACAAGCATCTGATCTCACTCTGAACACAAGCATCTGATCTCACTCTGAACACAAGCATCTGATCTCACTCTGAACTCAAGCATCTGATCTCACTCTGAACTCAAGCATCTGATCTCACTCTGAACCCAACAGAGAGAAGCGTGTCCACATATTCACGCTTCCTGTAGAAACAGTAAGATAGGGACTGAGGAGGACATTATTTATTATTATTGCATTTATCAAATTACCTTATGTATTAATATTATATTATGTTTTCAATTCCAAGCCCTGGCTTTTACATGTTCTTCCACGTTTAATAAATAAAAAAGGCATTCAAATATAGTTGTTATCACTGGTATTTACTAGTATCTCTACTTTTCCAACAAACAATAGCACAATTAAAAAGGGGGGCTTTTAATGTATTATGTAAAATGTTCAATTACTTTACTTATTATGTTTTTAATGTTATTATTTAATTTATAAAAATATGTTATTTATCATTTGTATTTCTTTAATCATCATTATTATTATTATTATTATTATTATGTTTTTTAATTAGTTATTATTTAATGTATTTAATTACGTTGTTTATTTGTATTATTATTATGATTTTAAATGTCTTTATTATGATTTTAAATGTTCTCCATGTCTAACCAGAGTTCAGTGTTCCTACCTGTTGTTGGAGCGATGAATTTGATGAAGCCGTCTCTTTTCTTCGTCAGCATCCTCTTCTTCTCCTCCAGGTCGGTCTCAGTCAGCCTCAGCTGCTTGATCAACTTCCTCGCCTGGGACACAAACAGAACACCTGTTACTCTTCACACTCCAATACCTCCATCCATCTTCTCCTCTGCTCCGTGGTCGGGTGGTGGAGGTATCAGTTCCAGCAGAGAGCCCCTGGCCTCATCAACCAGCTCTGACTGGGGGGTCCCAAGGCGCTCCCAGGCCTCATCAACCAGCTCTGACTGGGGGGTCCCAAGGCGCTCCCAGGCCTCATCAACCAGCTCTGACTGGGGGGTCCCAAGGCGCTCCCAGGCCACATCAACCAGCTCTGACTGGGGGGTCCCAAGGCACTCCCAGGCCTCATCAACCAGCTCTGACTGGGGGGGTCCCAAGGCACTCCCAGGCCTCATCAACCAGCTCTGACTGGGGGGTCCCAAGGCGCTCCCAGGCCTCATCAACCAGCTCTGACTGGGGGGTCCCAAGGCGCTCCCAGGCCTCATCAACCAGCTCTGACTGGGGGGTCCCAAGGCGCTCCGAGGCCACATCAACCAGCTCTGACTGGGGGGTCCCAAGGCACTCCCAGGCCTCATCAACCAGCTCTGACTGGGGGTCCAAGGCACTCCCAGGCTCATCAACCAGCTCTGACTGGGGGGTCCCAAGGCGCTCCCGCCTCATCAACCAGCTCTGACTGGGGGGTCCCAAGGCGCTCCCAGGCCACATCAACCAGCTCTGACTGGGGGTCCCAAGGCGCTCCCAGGCCTCATCAACCAGCTCTGACTGGGGGGTCCCAAGGCGCTCCCAGGCCTCAACAACCAGCTCTGACTGGGGGTCCCAAGGCGCTCCCAGGCCACATCAACCAGCTCTGACTGGGGGGTCCCAAGGGCGCTCCCAGGCCAGCTCTGACTGGGGGGTCCCAAGGCGCTCCCAGGCCAGCTCTGACTGGGGGGTCCCAAGGCGCTCCCAGGCCACATCAACCAGCTCTGACTGGGGGTCCCAAGGCGCTCCCAGGCCACATCAACCAGCTCTGACTGGGGGGTCCCAAGGCGCTCACAGGCCAGAGGAGAG